AAAACTTTCTGCACAAACTCATTGGTTTTTTGAAATATACAAATTTTATATAAATATGATATTTTTAGAATGGATAATTTTTTAATCTGACAGATTTTCATCAGATTAAACACTCCATTTATTTATTAAACAGTATATTCATTTATTTTCATCGACAGGCCTGAATATTTGAGAAATCTTATTAAAGAAAAAATGCACTTTCTAGCAGCAATTGAACCTGTGTTCCTCAGGGCAGAGGAATCTACTGTCAAGTCTGGCATGTCTTAACTGATTTGACCATGAAGAGATCTTGGTCATGCTAGGCCAATTTTCATGCTTGAAATCTATTGGATTAATAAAAAAAATCCATTCTAAAATTCTCTTTGTGCTTGGATACAAAACTACATGCAAATATGAAAAACTTTGAGAAATTTATGACAGAAAAAATTTTGCTAGGAAGCATGAAATTTGGCCTGACCACCTTCTCTTTATCTTCATCTAGGTTAAGGTGTGTAGCGGTCCCCCAGAGCGGCCCCGTATCACACAAGGGTGAATGAGGTCACAAGAGGCCCGCTAACATTTTTGAAGACGTTAAATCTGACAGTGAAACAATATAGACGACAGAACGAGGATATATATATGATATATGGAAATTTATTCTAGAAAAGAAAATAAGGAATGGTCGGAAGGTAGAGACGCAGAAATTCTAGTGCAGGCATTGATGGTCGAGGTTGGTGTTGGCAGTTGCCAGGATGATCGCTGTTGGTTGTTGGAGTTGATGTTGGTTGTTGCCAGGATGATCGCTGTTGGTTGTTGAAGTTGATGTTGGTTGTTGGAGTTGATGTTGGTTGTTGGCAGGATCATCGCTGTTGATTGCTGCAGTTGATGTTGGTAGGATCATCGCAGTTGGTTGTTGAAGTTGATCGTTGCCGGGATGCCACTTGTTGGTTGTTGGTCGTTGCCGGGGTGCCAACTTGACGTGTTGGGAAAGAGAGAGAGAAAGAAAGTTTCTAACTATCGTCAAGTTGGCAGACAAAAAAAAATGGGAACGTAACTTAATACGCAGCCCGTTGATCGACGTCCCTGGCCGACGAAGGCCAGGGCATACGTATCCAACCGTTTCAGTCGCCGACGATTTATTTTGTAAAATACAAAATTATGGCACAAGGCCGAAAAGGTGGAGGGGGTAAAAGGCTGGTCTTCACTAACTATCTTATACCTAGCTAATTTGATTCACGACCCATTCAGACATTACAATTTACTCATTCACCATAAGAACTTGTGATAAGGGAGTCCAGCAAGTAAAATTGGATAAGCTAACAGTAAAGTCTCTATAATAAAATACGTCAAGGTTAGCTAAAGGGAACTATGGCCTAAAAATGTCTAGAAGTATATTACAACAAGGTTTGTAATATAACTTAACTAAAAAGGGGACTTGCTAGTCTCTCCCACGGGTTAACAGTGTATAGGGGGCACAAACGAGAGGTCAAGGTCGAAATGACCTGTTCTCTTAATTTAAGGAGCGAAAGGAGGAGGTAACTCCGACAATACCTCTCACAAGATTAAAAGTTGTAATGAAATGACAACTTTTAATATATAAGAAAAAAGCTCATGAAAGTCTTGATTATTGTTCTTGTGAACTGAAAAGAAAATGTGTCAGAAGTGTGGTTGAGATGCGTGATTCGACGAAATGTGCTTGTGTTGTCGTCAGGGCGCAATCGTTGAAAACGTTTTTCGAAACAGTGAGTTGTCCGAAAAAAAGTTTGAAGCATGGGAAGCAAGCGGTGGCGTGAAGATGTCGCTACGTGGTGTAGGAAAAATGTATGTGCGCGCTTTTTGAGTTTCAGAATGGAAGAAGATGCGAAATGCTATGACCAGTAGCATGTATTGAAAGGAAGCGGAATTTGCAAGATTAATAGCGACGAATTACGTGCATGCAAATCCTCAGTGATCTCGCATCGTAATGGAACAGTGAGTCGTCCAGAGAAAGTTGTAGAATCATTCCAATGAAACTTGTGTGTCGCTTCCATGTCGGAATCACCAATATTGTTGAGAATAAAGGACAGTGGGTCGCCTTTAGTGGTTTGGTTCACACTTTATCTGTTTCAGTCCAGAAGAGAGTGTTAGTTCGTAGAAAATGGTGTTGCAGGTCTGCTGGTTGCTAAGCGTTGAATATGCCTCGTTTGTGTTGTGTCGCCATATTGTCCAGCCAAGTCAGATCACGTCGGGGTCACCACTTGTGGGGTTCAGCGTACCCGAATTAAAGGAGAATTTAATACGGGATACCCTGCCCACAAAATACAACGCAAATCTCAAGAAGAAACAACACGATAAGGAACGTTTATAGAAAATAGAACATTGTATATTTATTATCTTGTGAATAGGGTAAAAAAGATTAATGTTTTAGTTCGTTTAAGCAAAATTGTGATTTTAATGAAAATGTCTGTGTTCGCTGTCTTTTAACAGAGTAGCAGAATAATGTATGTTTCTTTTGTTTTTGTATAGTTGTAAAATGAAAAAAGGGCGAGCAATTTAAGTTGAAAAAGAGAGTGTGAATGAGGAATAAAGATAAAAGGAAAATGTACTTATGAATTGTTTTGGAGTCAGTTGTAAATTTGTTGTTGTTGTTGTTCTTTCCTACTCCACTTTCGGCTCTGTGTCGGGCTGAGTCAGTGATGAAATTTACTGTCAATCTTCTGTGATCTTTGCGCCCTCTGAATGACTGACTGGCGACTGACTTGAAAACTCTGTATTTATTGTTGACTTTTTTTTCACACTGGCTCATTATCCTTTTTTTTGGTTTAGCAAATTGCCTCCTTTCATTGGTCAGAAAATTAATTTCACACCTTATTGTGGAATCTGTTTTTGGTCGTTTTGATCCGATTTTGCGGGTGTGCAAATCTACTTTGTGTTTTTTTAGTCATTTGTTAGAATATAGGATTTGTATCGTATAGGTGTGCTGGGCTTAATGGTAGCTTTCTTTGTCCTGAGAGTTCAATTCCTACCGGAGAGCACATATTTTTTTTTAATAAGATTTCTTGAGCATTCATGTTGGTAAAATAAATAAATATACTATTTAATAAATAAATAGAGTGCCCACTGAAATACAAGTATCCACTAAAAATAATGTTTAAAGTGGTAAAATTATATAAATAAATGTTTAGACATTTTTGGTCAAAGATTTTTCAATCATTTTCATTTGGTTATCTCCATGTTTATTATTTATACAATGCTTAGTCAATCCATTCTCTTCCAAATTAAATATTTTCATGGTGAAATTAACATTTAGATATGAACAAAGGTTTCTAAGATTTTTTTTTTTATTAAGATTACTTGATAATAACTAGCACACATTTATTAATTCTTGTATTCATACAAAGAAGTGGCGATGCTTATGGAAATTGCAGGATTGCAAGGGAGTTTTTTACAAGAAGCTGATGCTGAAAAATCAAATGATTGATTCAAACAAGTACTGATCCCAATTTGGCCAATATATAAGCAGTAATCTAGTACATAGGGTGTTACAGGGAGTGAAAATGAGAGAAAAGACTGAGTAGAGGGAGGACAGAATATGAATGGAATTCAGGAAGATAGACAATGGCAATTGACATTGCATTTGAATTTTTGAAGTTTGTAGTTATCAGGGAAGCAAGTAAAGTGAAAGGATTTCCATGGGTGGGAAGTACCAGAAAAGGAACTGTTGGAGTAGAAGTGGCAGTTTCATTTAACTATTTCAACATTAAAAGGGTGGGACCTCAATGCCAATCTAGTAGCACACTTAAATTCATGTAGTCAGAGTGCCAGGGAAAAAAACTTGTCAGAGCAGTTGCCATAAAAATATTTGTAGAAAAAACAGAAATAAGCCATGTTACATCCGTGTGAAAGTGACTGAAGTTGAGATGCTAAGTTAGAATCAATTACATTAGAGATCCTTCTTTGGATTTTGTCAAGAACCTTGAGATGAATAGCAAGAGAACCAGACCAGATATGGCAGCTGTATTCAATGCATGGACAAATAGTAGATTTGTAAATGGGCAAGATGAACTCTGACAAGAAAAAATTTCTAACACAACACAGTGACCCAACTTTCCATGCAGTAGGTACAGCTATTGATTCGATGTAGTCACTTTACTTCAAGTCAGTGAAAAACGTGAGGCCAAGAAGTTGCAGTGTGTTGCTCTCCATGTTGATGGCAGGAAGAAAAGTCTCTCCTAGAGAGACATTTCTTCTTGGTTTTCAGGGGAAGCATCCAGGTTTACTTTGTTAGTTTGGATGGATTTGTTATTGAAACAGGAATAAATGGTAGTGTCATCTGCATAAATGCCTACTTGGGAACTGATGACACCAGGAAGATCATTTATAAGATTGGAAACAGATGGAAACAATTTTGAATAAAACTGAAAGTAAAACAGTTAGAATGGAGTAGCGATTATTTTAATTGTCAGAAACATTCATGAGTTTTCATGCAGCAGTTTAAAGAAAAACAGATATATTTACTTTGATTCACTTGTTTGGTTCATTGAAAATGGTTCTGAGTGCATTTATTATTCAACAGAAGTAGTATAGGAAATTGAAAACAGAATAGGCTGCATTTGGAATAAAATATTGTTTCAGAATAGATCCAATTATTTTTTTAATTTCAAAGACAATATAGTCTTTTAACTGAACAAATTCATTTTAAAATCTGTGAATAAAAAAAAAATGCAATAATTCATATCTGAAGTGAATTAAATTCTTTTATTAAACAAATATTTTTCTTTGGTTTTGATTATTGGTTTATAAGTAAAGGTTATTATCAATTATTGGTTCAAATTTAGTTTGTTATATTTATTTGTTGTAAATTACTTTACAGATGTAACATAATTCATCTGTAATCTTCAGTATTATTAGATTATTGAAAAGAAGCCTTTAATGACAAAATAGTTGGAAAGGTATCTTCAAATAATGGTATCTTCAAAATATTTATGTAAAATGGATCAAATGAGAAGTTCTGGAAAGTCTTTGAACAGCTGATGTGGAAGTCATTTTCTCAGTGGAACTGTGCCAATAATAATCTTGATTGGTATATCTAAAAGAGTGCACCAAGTACTACAAACGGAAAACTGTGAACAGACAGAAAAAGGATTAGTGATTATGGTAACATATATTTGTTTTTAAGCATTTAATTTGGTTTATCTCAGTGTTTAATGGTCAGAAATGTTTGGAATCAGACCAGAAAAAAATGACATGACACAAAATGCTTTGTATAAGTGAAATATTGTAATACATATAAAAAATCAGCATGTTTTGATATAAGAGATCATATCAGTAGATATGAATGCGATTTAAGTTTTCACTAAATTTTACTTATATTTTCATTTAGTCATAAAGAAATAAAACAATCTTTTTTCATACAAAATTCAATCCAATACAAGGCTCCAGATGCACACAATGTAGAGGGTTACTGTTTAAATGGTAAAAATGAATGAAATGAATGTAATATGAATGAAAGAAGAGATGGTTGAAAATGAAGATTATAAGGATATGGTGGATAAAAACTGATCTGAAGATGTTGGGATTATAGTTTTGAAGGGAAGCATCCACACAGGAACCTGTTCCATAAAGTAGCAGTACTTAGCAGTGGGGGAAATAAGTAAAACTTTCTCCTTATATATTGAACACAGAGTAAATGTGTGTGATTTGATTTCATAGATGTAGCATGGTGTGTCCTAGCTGTAAAGGTCTGAACTGGTGAAACTAAAAGAATGGAACTCATAGCGATAGTGATAGAGTAGTGATAGGTTTCATAGATTACATCTGTAGGTAAGATGCTGTACAGGAGAATAAATCTTTCCCCACAAAAATAGATTTTGATTGGATGCAAAATAGAAGCAAAATATCTGGAAAGAAAGGCCTACCTAGGGCAATGGGGCTTTAGTCTCCATCAAAGTACTCCTTTTGAGGACACACTTATCTCAGCATCCTTTTCACTTTTCAAAACAATTTGGAATGTTTTCTTTCAGGATAGTGTCCTGGGTATAACAATAAACTACATCCACATCCTGGGTACGATGATAAACTACGTCCAACAGCAAGACCTCTGATCAGGAGGTTTTGAGAAGTGTGGAACCACCTCTGAATTGCTTGTGTTCCCAGGTCCACCCTGACCCGGGGTGGTAGCACCTGCTAGGGTCCCAGCTATGGGCAAATAGTTAACCCCCAAACTGGGGTCAAAACTCTATGAAAGTGTAAAAATATGTTTTAATACCAGAAATACTTTTTAAAAAAGTATTACCAGCACTACATTTAAAAAATTTTTTTACCAGCAATAAAATTTTGTTGGCATTAAATAACCCATTGAGGTTGATATGCTGTAAAACAAACCAAACCACACCTTTCAGGATAGCCATCAGCTGCTTCATTAGTAAAAGTAAAATCAGTTTTGTTCAACTCCTTGAATCCTATAGGCATTACAAACCAATGATAAGAAATTGACAACAAAACACAAAATGTGTTTATTATGTTTTTCAAATATGTTATTTTTGTTTTTTTTAATTCTTTACAGGAGCCACTGTATGTCTTTAAATGAAGACATGAATCAAATATAAATTCAGTGTCATACACAATGCAGTTTTTTAGTTCATAGAATAAGCATTCTCATATATACACCTATGCATGCAATTATGTCATGACATATTTACCAACTGAACCCCAATGTGACTTTCACGTTATACTATATTCTGTAGATTAGTTACATTATTCTGGATCTAACCAATGCCTTTATCCACTGTGCCATGTTTGAGTTCAATACCCGGCTAAGGCAGTGGAGAACTTTCAGAGGGAAAATTAACAGGAGATAACTGATAACTGACATCCATTAAACATGGCACGTGGAACTAGAACAGTCTACTCCAGTGAGTGAAATAAAGGGTTCAGTTCGACATTCCAACCACCTGAAGAAGGCATACAATGGCCGAAACATTCTAATAAATATGGCAACAAAGATGAGGACAATAGTCCGAATAATGTAAATAATGTACATAATACCTCATCTCAGAAATATAGACAGATATACTATATTCTGTGCTTCATAATTTGAACTTCAATAAAGAATTTTACTCCTGTCAAAGAACTAATAAATTAATATCACTTAGAATATCATTATGATAGCAGGTTTTCAAATGCACTCCATGGCAAATATATCTTTTGATATTGTTAATTCTAATATCTATTTTATATTATTAATATTACTAATATGTCATGCTTGAAGTATACTAATTTCTCACCTATTTCTTAGCCACTTCAATACCCATTCAAGTAGCTGATGAGCTGTGACTAAAAGAAGGAAAAGAATGCCTATACAGAAATAATAACTGCACTTCAATTTACCAGAAAACAATATAGCAATATTTATTTCATTACTTATTGTCTGCTACAATGTTTATATTTGATCAAAATAGACAAAATATAAACATTGTAGCAGGCAAGTAGTGAAAGTTAATGGCATATACACAAAATAACATTCTCATATAAGAATATTTTGACCACAAAACTGAAAATATATTGAAGCTGCTATTAAAATAAAAAAAAATGCCATGTCCCCTTTGGATGTAGGTGATCATGGCTCTCCACAAATTTCTTTTCTTTATTATCTGGGAATTGCCATGCCTTCTTGAGAAAGATTTTGGATTAGTTTCCCACTGACTTCTCAACAGAAGTTTTAATTCTCTTATATTGGTTACCATGTAAGGCTAGAGATCCCAGTTTACCCTTCTATTTAACCTTCTAGTTGGTAGCGTGAAGATATAAATTCATATGTTAGTGTAAACGTGATAAGGTCAGAATTTGAACTTGGCTCACTTTTCATGTCAATAATATTACATTATGCACATACCATAATATACTATTATAAAATTTGAGTTCAATTAATTACATAGTCTTATATAACTAACTATAGATTAAGCTAGTTCATTTTAGAGAAGGGGTGATGGGATAAAAACTGTCAATAAGAGAATTGATTGAAAGGAAAGAATCATTCTTCTTTTATGTGCATTGTACCATCAGGATGTGAGAGATTATAGCTCTTCACACTATCCTGTCTTTTGTAGCTCTAATCAATATTTATCACTTTATCATTTCTCACAATTCCTGTTTTGTCATCTCTTTTCAAAGTCTTGTGAGTGTTAAATTCTCCAAGCCTTCTTAGAGGATAGGATCTGTGATTGAAGATTCACTTCTAAATAAGAACCTTTTAACAAAAACACTTTAGTTTTAGTTTTCATGTTGTGGTAGGTATTTATATAGCTATTTGACAAGAATATATGAAATCCTTCATTTTGATTTTCTTAATTTGCAAAGAGACATGAAGGAATTTTGATGGAGAAATAAAATGCATATTTTTGTTGAAACTCTAATTTGAACAGTTGAACTTTGCCATGGAGCATTTGCTAAGAAGAAAATCAACTATTTATAATTAAGTGAATTTTGATTTCACTGATATACCAAATTAGATGGCATTGTATTGGACAAGGGGGGGCCCCATAAAGAGAGAGAGAATTTAATTTTATTTCATTTTAAGATGTTAGGGTAAGGATTTCATATTTTGTTACATTAATAAGTAAATGTGTTTCTCAAATGTAAAAATGGAATGAATTATCGCAGGAGTTAAGATTGTTAAAAAAAAGTATTCATATTGCAGGGATTTCAATTCTTAATTGGCCTTATACCAGTCTTGTTCCAGACATACTGAAGTTTAGTAAATGAATAAAATTTCATAGGTAGTGATTAAAAATTAATTGGGTTGCCATAATGTTACATTCCAAATCTAATGAAATAGATTTATAGATAAAATGATAACACCAGATTTAATCTCTCATATTTAACATTATATTTTATTTCACTTCAGTAGTTCATCAATTTCTGTAAGCTGTTGTGTGTGTGTGTGTGTGTGTGTGTGTGTGTGTGTGTGTGTGTGTGTGTGTGTGTGTGTGTGTGGTAGTGAAGTGAGGCTCTAGAGCTCCTTCTCTGAAACATGGACCTTACATTATCATCTGTCATGTCTGAGAAACTGCTCCCTTACCGCTGTGGTGGGTGTTTATATATTTATCTCTGTCATGCAACTTATTCTCACAATTTGCAAGACAGGCACTCATGATTCTGCTGAAAGGTCACTTCAGATCAACCCTGCACCAGGCTTCTCTAATGTCACACTGTGGCCAAAGTATGTTCAGGTGTGATCTAGAGTGAGATGCATACTAAAAATGCTAGTGTGAGGGTAAAAAAAAAAAGAAATAGAAAACAAAGAACTAAAGGTAGTTTGTAAGTCATTTGACCTGACACTGACTAAATTAATTGGTGCAATTGATTCTTTTATCTCATTTGAGTTACTCTGTATTAAATTAAATGCTCGGATTTCAGTTTATTATTTTCTAACAAACTAGAAAGTCTTAAAGAGAGTAGGAACTAAAAAGAAATAATTGATGACAATACTGAAAGAAACAGCTGAAATATTTGAAATATATCATGAGAAAAGAAGGCTTGGAAAATTTAACACTCAACACTGAAGGTTAAAAGAAGCAGAAGAAAGCTGTGTGTTATCCATTTGGCATTTTTTGAACAAACAAGTAAATATGATGACAATTGTTATCTTTTGTTTTCTTAATCCCTATTCTGTTATTGTTCTCTGGTTTTCTCATATTATTTCACAATCAGTAACCCCATTATGTCTTAGTGGCTTTATTGCCTTTCTTGAAGTGAAATGATTAAAAACGGATTGAAAAACAAGAGTCCCAAAGTGAAATAAGGGGTCATGAAGGAACAAGTATTGCTGATGGCAACAAAAGAAAGGAAACTGTGGAAAGCCATGATTGCCGACCTGTTAAAAAGATGTGACCTATAGAGATAGATAGATGGATTGAGAGAGGGAGAGAGAGAGAGAGAGAGAGAAAGAGAGGGGGTGGTGAGAGAAAAGAGCGACAGAATTTTGGGACCAAAATAGTTTAAGTATAATATTAATAAAAATAATTCCAATATTAAAAGCTATTGCTTACCTTTAATATATACTCAATACTTACTTACCTTTAATGTATAATCAATATCAATGATGCTGCAATATAGCATTTGGGGAGTAGCCAAAGGTGGAACCTCAAGAACTTTTCCATTCCAAGTACCAGTACTTCCAGGTTTTATTGAACCACCTCTTATAGATACTAATGACATTTTCTTGGTTTTATTTTTTGATGAAGTTCGAAATTTAATTTCCTGGAAATGGAATTACTTCATCAGTTTATATTTTTGAAACTGCATCAAAATATGTGAATAGAACAGAAGATAGATTCATATAAACAACTTGCTTCAAAATTGTTGAGTAAAGTGCTGGGTTAACCTAATAGCAACAGGTCCCACATTTTTGAGGGTCCTGCATTTTGAAAAGGTCCACCATTAATTGCTCTGTCGAGTAATTTGTAGTACATTATTTATCATCTCTCAGTTGCATCTCTGTTTTCGGGCAGAGTACTCTCAGGGGCGGCTCCGTCAAAGAACAGAGTTGCAACTGAGGAAAATTATACTGAGATGTGCCCAGCCCTGGGGAAGAGCTGCACTAGAGAGAGGGATCGGTGCTCACACTGAGGCCAGTGTAACCGACGGTTGCGGGGGGCAATTTTTGTTCCTAGCCCGGTTGTACGCACTTGGGCTCCCCACATTAAACCAACCTTGTGTCACAACCCTGACCTCGTGGGAGGTGGGGTTTGAGTAAATACAAATTACTTTCTTGTTGTTTGGTGAAATTGTTAACTTATAATCTGCCAAAATTAATTTTTACATGTCGGGGGAGCTTTATTTTTAATTATTCATCTTTTCAAGGAACATATCAAGACTGTTAAATCTCAAATATTTTGTTAGAATCATTTACCTAAAATTGTTGGGGGTTTGTTTATTAAGTTGATAGAATTTAAATATTCGAATATTTAGGATTTAAAGTTTATGTGTATTTGTTTAAATTTAAGAGTCTTTATAATAAATACTAGAATCACTGTACTAGTTTGTAGCAGATTTAAACCATTTCACTAAACACGCATTAATTGATAACCCTGCCAGCAGCAACGATCATTTTCCATCTTTTGGCCATATGTAAAAAAGAAAAAAAAAAGAAAAAAAACTGGGAGCCTGCATGATGCGAATCTAGAGGTTAGATCTCTCTTACTTCAGGCCGATGTCGAGATAGGACGTTAAAATCAAACCTTCTTTAGTAGCCAGGCATGATTTAAACGATGCACATCACTCTTTTAACTTACCAACAGAATGTTCAACTTTTTCCTCACCCTTTTTACAGAGATTACCTTAAAAACATCCCTAGAGTTTACACTTTCTTTCAGAAACATTCCTTAAAAATTTCTCTACAGAAAAGTTTTCTGATAGAATAAGAATTTATATCTCATTTTTTTTCAATTTCTTGTTTATCTATTTTCTCAACCAATTCAACACTTACTTTTTGTTCATTAACACACAAAACCTTCTCAACTTCAAACAACAGCTCCCAACTTAATAACAACAAACCTAATTCCACCCTGGTTGAGTAAATGCAGTTTTAGTCACCATATTCCTCAGTTTCAAAGAGGCTCATGCATTGGAAGCAAAGATTAACAGACAATATTTGGAAGGACAATTTGGATGATTTGCATAGGTGCATTAGCAATAGCTGAACATTTATTAAACAACTATCAATGTGCCCGGTCATACAACTAAGACATGTTCTCGGTACTGAGGATGTCTTCCTCTAATTTTCATCTTAAGGTGTCAGTGTCAATTTATATTAAGTTCTGTCAGCCATTCCTCTGTAAGCAGAAGAGGTGGTTATTAGGCTTAATGATGTTTATATAACATCCGATGTTTGGTGTTTTCAATTTTAGTCGTGCACAAGTCTTGATTGAGTTCTGATGAGAAAGAATCGATAAACAGGTTAAAAAACTGTCATTTTTGTTGTGTTTTGCTTTTCGATATTACCACTTTACGATAATATAAACATTTTTGTTACTCCATTTTGTTACTCCTTTAGTGATTAATTACTTCAATAATTAAATGCATAAGGTTTCTTACAGGAACATTTTATAATACATCTTATAAGAGTGGTGAAAAAGAATACATGCACAAATAGCTGGCCAATTGATTTGCAAAAGGAGAGTTTAAAACAAGATTTTCTGTTGTTAGACATAAATACACAGCAAAATGTTCATGAATATGTTATAGTGGGAACTTATTTTGTTGATGTGTTTTGGGTGAAGCGTTCAAAGCCCTTTTAGCTTCAGCATGAAAACACCAGTTTGAAAGTAGAAAACCCGGAGAGAGAGAGAGAGAGAGAGAGAGAGAGAGAGAGAGAGAGAGAGAGAGTTACTTTAGTGTTCATGTATTTTTATATTCGAGAGCGGCCGCTGATATAAATTTTATTTTAAAGATGCTACTGATATTATGTTTAAGGTCATCATATTCCTTTTTGTTACTCCTTTCCCTGTTTCTTTTAACATGTACTTTTTAAATGCTATTATTTTGAAAACTCTGAGTAGGTAGGTAATGCCTTTTTGTTACACTATTAAATAATTCTTCATCACAAACATTGCTATCCAAATGAGTGGTTATATTTTATTTGCTGTTTATTAATTTCCTTCAATCCTTAATAAAGAAAAAGGTTTATTGAAATTACATAACCAAACTATATACGTCAATCTATATAATAATATTAAAGTCTATTATAGCGTTTGTCCTTGTGTGCTTGTGTGGTGCGTCCGTCTGGCACATAATGATTTACAAGTTGTTTATATGGTAAGTATTTTTATTTTAAATTTCTTGATAATTTTTTTTAATTAGAATATTTTTAAGTTAAAGACAGACACAAAGAGATGCTGCTTTGCTGTTTCATCCAGTTGTTTGTAGAGAAATTATTTATATTTCAGCTTTCTTTGAGCAAACAATATTTTAAAAATTTAAAAAAATATATTTTGGCATATTTAGAAAATATTTTCAAGTGAATATGATTTTAAAATATCTTTTGGTATATTAAAAATATTTTTAAGTTGACCTGATTTAAAGTTCAAGTTTATACCGGAAGTTCTATTGCTATTGAATGCTGTAAACAACCAGTAAAACGTTAAACATGAACTTGTAAACAAAGCCAATGATGACACGAATGAAAGGAAATATTTAACAGAATCATAATGAAATTATCTTTCATTTCAATGGAACATTGAAACCAACTTCAGTATTTTATAACATGAAACGTCAGTGAATCAACGTGTCACGGGTAGTTTAGTAATAAATAAAATGATGAATAACAGAACATGAAATAAAAATAATTTGAGATTTTTTTTTTTTTACCATTTTAAGAGTTGCTTGTGAATAAGCAACTGTTTTGTTAGATTCATTATTAATTTCTGCGTTAATACAAATCTTTTCGCCTGGTACAAATCCCGTTTGCTTCAAATGAATGGTAGCTGATAACATTCCGGAACTGCAGGAAATGAAACCAAACTTGGTAAAAACTTTCTTTTGAATTGGCAGCTGAAAAATAAAAAATAAATGACAAACTGAAATAAAATACCAGGAAGGAAAATAAGTAAATATTACAATAGAATAAAGTGTAAAAGTTTTAACAATTTAATATAGTAAATTTGTTTCTATTGTTTATATCATATCTCAATAATAATTTACATTACAAGTGCTATAGAGTGAAACATGAGATTGAAAACTTGTTATGTTAATTTTCAAATGGAAAAGGCTTTCTTATTTGTCATAAGAATTAGCACTGATTTTTTTTATTTACATTCTGTGCTCAAATGTGCTAAAGACGAAGTGCTTGACATTTGAGCACCATTGGATTAACATATCATCATACCATTTTGGAATCAGGCCGACTCTGTGAGCAAATTAAAAACATTCTGGGCTGGATCTGGACCCGTGTAGCATCCTGCTACCACTTTCTTATCAATGTTGAAATTTGTACATTTTTGTGCAAAGAGTGGATCAGAGAGCTTACTCAGCTTAGTAAATATTTTCAGGAAATATCAGCTTCTCATTGGTCAATAAACACACAAGTGGGCATTGGCAATCCACCCATATACAAATATTTTCCAGCGCGTGAGCAAATCAAGTTTTCCCTCCATTTTCTGTGAGCCTGACATGTGATACTACTCTTCCCTTTTCCTGTGAAGATGTGACTTTAAGGATTCTTGTCTCGACACAAAATAAAAATATTTCACAGTCTAAGGTACATAACACCTACAGAACATTTAACTTCTATGCATGTACATCAATACACAAAATAAATATAAATGTTATTATTTTAAAACCATTTTGTTCCTTCTTGTATTTCATGTTTTGTGGTATTTTAGGTTAAATATAAATTGTGTGGTCATGTTATTCGTGCAGCCATAAACAGACATCTACAAATGATCCATATTTATCAACACTTACCATTACATATGGTAACTCGATGTTTGACATGGAGTGAGAAAAACAAATAGACCACTACATATGGTGACCCCGAGTCCTCTACACCTGAAATCCTTAAATTTTGGATTCCCAAGTTTTTATTACTGCGATTGTTTTCGGCGTTTTTTTTTTTTCTGTGATTTTTTGCGAAAAATATTTTCGTGTGATAACAATTTTTATAATTTGGAAATAAATTTGGGAATAATCAAAATTAATCGCGAAATCCAGCAAAAGTCAGCCATGGAATAAAAATAATTGTTTGTACCGTGGCATGATGGAGTAATGGATAGAGGCCCCGAATAAGGAATTGAGGAACTGTTGTATCACGTATGGCACATATAACTGAACTCTTGGAAAGTAAGGAATTGTCTTTAAGTAGCGGCGGAATAATTATCTTTTTTAAAAGGTAACTTAATCAGAGATCAGTTTTGAGTTTTGTACTTTATTGTTGCCTACCTATTGTGATGAAGACACTGTAGAGGACTCGGGGTCACCATATGTAGCGGTGTATGTTAGTAAGGATGAATCATTTGTAGATGTCTGTTTATGGCTACGTGTATAACATGACCGCACAATTTATATTTAACGTAAAATACCACAAAACATGAAATACAAGAAGGAACAAAATGGTTTTAAAATAATAACATTTATATTTATTTTGTGTATTGATGTACATGCATAGAAGTTAAATGTTCTGTAGGTGTTATGTACCTTAGACTGTGAAATATTTTTATCTTAGCTCACAAATGTTGAATTAATTACAAAGCTGAGAAATGCTGAATAAACTGTAGCTTTAGAAGAATATTTCAAAGAGAAAAGTTCTTGTTGCTTGTTTGGAAATGTTCTGTATGTTTGCAATGTACGTTGGAAAAGTTTGTATGTACGTGCATGCGTGAATATGCTTTTAACGTCTGACCGCCCAGAGTCAAGACGAGAATCCTTAAGGTCACATCTTTGCAGGAAAAGGTAAGAGTAGAGAAGAGAAAGCAGCGAGCTTGTGTCTGCTATTTATAATTAATGTAATCACGTAACAGGCTCACAGAAAATGGCAGGAAAACTTGACTTGGTCATGCACTGCAAAAATATTTGTACGTGGGTGGATTGCAATGTCCACTTGTGAGTTTATTGACCAATTAGAAGCTGATATTTCCTGATAATATTTACTAAGCTGAGTAGGCTCTCTGGTCCACTTTTTGCACAAAAATGTGCAAATTTCAACAATAAGAAAGTTGTAGCGGGATGCTACAACACAATCAAGAGTGCTTTTCAGAAGCTAGCTTAAATGCTGCACTCTCAGTTGGTTTTTAAGTTAGTATAAAATACAACAGACATAACTAATTCTACATTAAAACATCAGTACTGAAACATTCCATACTATTTACTGTAATAACGATAATAATTTGGAATTTTAAGATGATTATCATTCTTGTAACAAAGTTCTTGGTGTCAATTCTACCAGTAAGTGGATTTTTTACTAACACTGTCCCCTCTCCTGCTGTCAGGACAAAGTTATTAGTTATGAAGGAGAAAAAAATGACAAAGGAATCGGAAAAGATATCTCCATTGTTAATTACGAAATTCAGTTTTGATTTGTTGTTTCTTTATGGCTTTTAAAAACGGTTAATTAAAGCGGAAACAGGTTTTTGGATTGTAAGAATGTTTGGGAGATAATAATGATTTTCTGATACAAGTTCTACTATCTAACCCATGGCTGGGGGAGAAGAGATGGATTCATAACTTTCCCAAGAGTATTTACACATGTGAATATAACGAATCCAACTGGAAATTGAACTTAGCTCTTTGTTTTCTCATTCCGAGAGTCGTTATCCATTACTCCACCCACACATCAAAGCTTACAGCACATGGTATTTCTGAGCAGTCACTCATCTAGGTACTGACCAGTATCAACTATGCTTAACTTCGATGAACCAGTGTTTTAACATGATATAACATTAAACCCTAAATCGATGAAGTTGAGATGTTGAGTTGAACTGCTTGTTGTTGGCAAGGCATGCTATTTTTTTTATATCTATACTTTAACAGATGCAGCCTCCAAAGCCCATCTACTGTTTTTGGTGGCAACGTTTGTGATTGGCTACATTGTATTTTAGATTTTTCGGAGATTTGGTTTGTGAACTGGATGCAATGCTTGGAGCCCCTGTGCAGAAAACAATTTTTTTATTTGGGGTTCTATTTTCTTAGCGCTCACATCTGGCTGACATGTCTAGTGAAATGGATTTGTGAATCAGAAAGTGACCTTGATAAAAGTAGTATATATATAACAATACATAAAAATAACAACAAAACAGAAATATAAATACCTTCACTTCAGCCTGAGTCTTCAGATCAATTACACTTTTTACTTGAATGGGAATTTTGCATTTACGGTCAAGTGTCCAGGGTTTGTCTATGACAGCTTTTACGAAATAATTTATATGACCATATTTATGTTCAAAGGATGATGGACTGTGTAGCGGTAAGTGAAACTTAAAAGGGAATTTATGTTCACCTTCCAAAAGCTCAATTTGCTCAGAAGTGTGTGATGCTAAATGAAAAGAAGTAAAACAGAATAAAAACAGACCAGAAAAATTAAATATATAAAAGAAATAAAAATACAAAAATCGATGCAGTTAAATATAACACAAATTTCATTTCTAAAAATAAAATTTCAACTAATTTTAAAAAGAAATATTTTGGGGATTGTAATGAGATAAAGCCATGATAGAAAGATTTATTCTCGCATTTATATTTCTCCTGTTATGAGTATTATTATATCTGTGATATAATTACATCGAAATTCATGGACAGGACAAAATGGCTGAAAGGAAAAAAAAGGCAAACATGCTTTTATTTTCAGAGACTTTTATATCACTACGACATATGCAAAACTATATATACATATGTGGAGAATAATATATAACATATATCTACACAGCATAGCAGAGTGTAAGGAGAAACAAAAAGGAAGGGTGTTACATATAATATGGAGATATTCCTGTATCTGGAGAAGTCATTTTTAGGACTCCAGATTCAAACAGGCTAGATTCATCTATGTCCCAGGTGAGGACAAATTCCATAAAAAGAAAGCAGCAAGACTTGGGTTTTCCCAAATTGAGGACTGCGAGCAGAAGTTTCATTCTATATCTGGGAAAGATATATTCCAAAAGGGAAACAGCACCATGGATTTGTAAGCTGCTGGGCAGAGGGTGGGGCAGATTTAGCCTCTGTCCAAGCCATGGGAAGGCTCAAGCTAAAAAAAGCTACCTTACCATTTGGTTGCTGTAAACGAACTGAATTTCGACTGCCACTTTTCATCACTGTATGGAGTGACCCATCTGACTTATCTCCGCCAAAGGGAGATAAGTGTCCTCTATATCCTTACAGGATATTTCAAAATTATTCTCATCTTCAAGAGCACATGTATACTTTATAAGCTTATTTAATATTTTACATATTGTATCATTCAATTATCCAATGATTTGTAGAGTTATAGAAGCTGGTTTCCTCTACTTTTCATTTTATAACAACATAATTAACAACTAATGGTTATTCATTTGTAGACTTTATTTCAAGGGACAAGTAACCACCATATTTCAGGGAACAAGTAACCATCATGAAAATAACAGATCTTGCTTCATTTCCTTTCACTTTTGGAATTCTGTCAGGAGCTTCAGTAGATTTCAAACAGAGTTTAAGATATTCCTAAAATCTGCTATAATATTAAAATGTATCAACTAATGCATAGTTGAGTAGTATTGGTAATGGTATGGGTAATGTTATGCTATATATAATAATGATATTAATAATGTAGCCATAGATAATCTTTTGATGTGTACATGAAATAAAAAAAACTTGTAAAATTGCTGTATTTTTTAAATTTATGGTGGTTGAGGTTATCAGTTATGCATGACTCATGACAACGTCTGTTCCTAATATATATTGCTATATTTGGTTTGGGTGTATGTTGGCCTTGTGTAATGGCTAAAAGAAAATGCACACTGTTGATAAATACAAAATAAATATTTATATATGAAATATAATAATACAGAAGGATAAGGAGAAAGTTTCAAGAGTTTAAGTGTAAAAGTCCCAGTGCATAAGAGAGAGAGAGAGAGAGAGAGAGAGAGAGAGAGAGAGAGAGAAAGAAAATATATATGTTTCCAAATGTAGCAGCAGGTTGTTTAAAAAGGTGTTGAAATAAAGGGTATGTTTTTTTCAATATAGTAGAATGAATTGCCAACTCTGGTTATGTTACGATGACTACAGCATGTGTGAATGAACTTCATTTATTTATTGTTTATAGTCTTGGTTAATTTTCCATCTGCTTCAAAAGTTTCACTTTGATTCACATTGGCTTGTAGGCTTATATTCTAGTTGTGAAAGGTTTCTGATTGGTTGGTCAAAATATGGCTTTGTGACCTGGGGAGTCTGATTATACATCTATTTTTAGAGATGGTGGGATTTTGGTTTCCTTGTTATTATTTATTTTTATTTATTTATTTCTCTATCACTACAGATTAATGAATTAAAAATACTTTTATCTTGTAAACTGATGAGGTAAAATACTTGCATAGTGTAGCTCAATGAGGTTAAAATGCTGTTATTCTCTACATGAATTTGGTAAAATATATCTGGAATTGATTATGGGTAATTGCAAAACATATTTATCTTATATCAAACTACACTAAAAATATCTTAAAAGTCATAGTTTAAATAATACAAATGCCTAAACACCTATAAATTGCTTCTTTCTTAAATACATAAAGATTTATTCACATTTGAAACCAAGAATTTTTTTCTTACCTTTTCCATAAAGAATAATTGTTGAGTCAATGTATGTTTCATGACTGGAGTAATAGGTAGGATTGTAACCAATTCCAGGTCCATCTTCCTCCCAATTAACTTCCCCTTTTCCAATAAGTTTCACTGAAATTCCTAGAGTAGAAACAAATGCCAATTATGGAATATCAGAATCATTTATTTATAAAAGAGAATATGAGAGAGAAGAAAAATATATTAATGCCACACAGATGTAAATGACTTGTATTTAATTTTCTTTTCTCCATATTTTCAAAATGATTTGCTTACAGGATAGTACAGGTATCATCTGAAATTATCTTTGATACCAGGTTTAATATTATTCTATAGCCTTGATAATAACTATAATCCTATCGTTATTAGCTTATGTTGTATAACAATAATACCTTTATAATTCACTAATCGGCCCTCTCTTATATAACAACGACTTAACCTGAATTCTAACGTGATGGGTTGTAAAAGGATTAATGAGGGAACATGAGGATTGGAGGGAGCTTTGGAGACTTTTATTAAGTTAAAACTTAATAGTAAACAAAAGAAAGGTTTCTTATTAGTTGGTTGAAATATGGCCTGGCCTGGCGTTTCTGATTATACATCTATTTTCAGAGATGGTGAAGAAAAATAGAACTCTGGTTTAAAGTTTGGAGTCAATAATACATATGCTGCACTCCACCTTAAAACATCACCAGTACTGGTTTCTTTTGTTGTTCATCAAGCTGATTTTCAGATTTTTAGTAATCATTACAATTTTAATGTCTAGAGCTTGTCGCAGAATTATAAAAAATGTTTATTGAATAAAGGATTTAGTGAGAAATTTTCTGAAATTTTGACAAGCACCTGAAGAAGGCTGGAGGGTACGATGGCTGAAATGCTGTGATAACAAAAACAAAAATAAGGAGAATTGTCTGAATGTAAATAATAGAAATAAATCAAGAGGTGTGTCAAATAACTTCCCTGATTTGAGGGTTCAACCACATGGCAGGCACATCCATTCAATGAATATGACACAAGGCTGCCAATCTAGTATAGCACTTAAATTTCTAAAGTTACCAAAGTTAAAAGCTCATCAGAACAATTACCATGAAAATATTTATAGAAAAGACACAAGAAAGTTATTTTACGGTGGTGGGTAAGTGGCTGATGCTGTGATGCCAGGTCAAAACTGATAACATTACAGATACTTGTTCAGATTTTATCAAGAATCTTTAAATACATAACAGAATCACCAGACCAGGCACGATTGAAGACAGTGAACCAACTTTAATAGCAGCAGCAGCAGCAGCAGCAGACCTAGCAATTAATTCAGTTGTACTCAGGTCTTTCTGTTGAAGCAGCATGATAAAATTAACTTGTGAATGCTATTTTAAGCTGAGTGCACAAATACTACACTGATTTTGGTTAATTAGATGGAGAGAGATACTGCAATCCTTGGCAGGACACACGGATACTACAATGATCATAAAAAGAGGAGCCAATCCATACATAAATAATTCCATCATTTTAGGAATACTACATGTAGTTATATATTTAAAAACTCACATGTATGGACTTAACATAATATTCCATTCTGCTAATTGCATTGTTATAAGTTTCTACTGGGCATAAAGTTGGGGATCGGTTTTCTATTCATATTAAGTAATAAACTGATCCCCCAGAGAATTACTACATATTAATATAATAATTGGAAATATATATATAAAGACTCATATGTGCAAAACTTTAAATAAAAGTAAGTTTTAACAAAATATGCTGTTATTGGTAAGCTAGTATTAACATGGGTTTCTACTGGACATAAACTGGGGGGTCGGTTTCCTATTCTTATTAATTAATAAACTGATCCCCCAGTAGAATTACAACATCTTAACATAATAATTTGAATAAAATGAGTCTTTGGCTTACAGACACATTATGTTAAAACACCAGTTCCCATATGACCAGTGAATTTAAGCAATGTTGAGCTTGGTCAGTACCTAGATGGGTGACCACTTGGGAATAGCAGGTGCTGTAAGCTTGGATGTGTGGGTGGTGTAATGGATAATGGCTTGGAATTGTTAATTGGAATGCCAAATTCTAATTGTTGTTGGGTTTGTTATATTCACTTATATGCAAATAACCTTGAGAAAGGTATGAATCCATCTCTTTCCCACCAGCTATGGGTTAATTAGTAATTTACTTACACACTCAAAGAAAAATACAATCCAGAATTTCTACCCAGTAGCACCCACTCCTGCCTAAAGAAACAAAAAAAATTGGAGCCAATCTGAGCCTAAGAAAAGGACATAAAAGCCTATCAAATGGACATTTTCGGCAGTCGGATGGCACAACAGCCTAGATTCAAAATGCTTGTTCAAAAGCGACTGCCCATCTCCAAAGACAATGCACTGCCTTGTAGAACTGGCTCCCAAGAGGCTTCTTGCCTGATGACTACAGTCTTGTTCAGGTTTAGAGTTATTTTCCACACATATCTGCATAAGCTGTACCTCAAACTTTGTAATCTTCTACCTTGGGTGGCCCTTGTACAGAGTGAACACTAGTGTAAAAAAAAAAAAAATATGTTCCTCAGCCCAAATTAATACATATTGATATGATAAAATATATTTGAAGACTTACATATGAAAACCTAATAAAAGTAATATGTTGTCATTGATAAACTATTATTAATATAAATTTCTACTGAGCGTAAAGTGGGGTTTATTTTTTTGTTAAGTATTCTTATTAAGTAATAAATTAATCTCCCAACAGTTTTAGTACATATTAATGTAATAATTAGAAAAATCTATTTGAAGGCTCACATGTGAAGATTGTAAGGAGTTAACAAAATATGTTGTGATTATTTGAAGACATGAGTAAAGTAGCTTAAAATAAAAATGGAAATAAAAAATAAAGACTTACCTCTTAATTTGATTGATTTTTTTAATACTAAGATAACAGAACCTGTTATTTTTTCACCAGCATTATAAATACACGAGGAACTATTCAGTATAATGCTAAATTTTTCGAACTTATTCATTATGTCAAACCAACATCCACAATTACTGAAACAGGTCTTATGTAAGTAAAAATGTAAGTTAAAATGTTTTCAATGTTCTTTTTGAAATATAAGCTGTTTAAACTTTGCAAATGATAGTGGTTCATTTTGATAAGAGAAGTCTTCTTTATCTCTTGATTTATTTTTTTTTTTATTGAGGAATGTCACATGATGAAAAGCGATCAGAGTAAACAGACACTCCTTAATAATTTGTTAATGTTTATTTTAGCACAAAAATGTGGATGGCAATTCTTTTGTAAATAATTTCTTTCACATTTTATTTGAAGAGAATTTCTGCTTTTGATTTTTTTCATGCTCTTAAAATTCTGATTTTCTTGATCAATATTTTTATTTTCTTAGTTTTTTCTATGTTTTCAATTGATGTGTAGGTAGCATAGTGGCTATCAGCTCAGAAAAAGAAATCAACATAATTCAATTCTGGTTCAGTTTGTAACATTTAATTTTGCAAAAGTACCCTTGGAAAAGATATAAATCCATCTCTTCTCCCTCCACTTATGGGTTAAATAACAGAGCAGACTAAGCTCTGTATCCATTATTGATAACCAGTCTAGTTGAATGACAACATTGAATTTAAAACTATTTATGTAGCAGTGGCAAGGGACATACTATACAGCCATAGAAAAGATTATGGAATTCACAGCAATTAACTGCAGTGTTGAGTGGCTGACTCATAAAGCTGATGTCTTTGTGCATCATATATCTAATAAAGGAGTCTGCCATTTTGATTAGCTCAGAGATAACCCTCATCAACTTGCTGGAATTGTGAATGATAATGTTCTGGCCATAGTGAATAAACTAGGCTGTCTTTATGGAAAGTCTTTGCCAGAGGCCCCTCCAGGTCATACTTGAGCTTAGGCACAAAGGGTCTTGGGTTGGTGCCAGAAGTATAGGGGTGGGGAGTAAGTACCCATGTGTTCCGCAGTCCAGATGATTAGTATCATAGTGTAGGAGCTGTTCTGTGGCCATTTACCATCAATAATTTGAGAAATAAAAAGAATAAAGAAGTAACTACAAAAATGATCATTCTGAATCATACCTTAGAACTAAAACAATGATTACTGATAAAAATGTTTTTTTAGTTAATCTTTCAAAAGGTCCATAAAGACAATATTGATAATGAAAACTCAAGATATAATATTTTTTTATTTAGATTATTTTGAAGTGGTTAATTTATATTTGCATGTAATGCATTTTTATCAGTTTATCATTATGATTATTTGACAAATTAACGCAATTTATTAAAAATTCAGATTTTATTACAGACAACATATGCATAATAATAAATTTTAATTTTAAAATATTATGATTATCATATAATTATTATTATTATTATTAACTTTTGACTAGTAAAAATTAATTAGAAAAACATATTAAATTAAATCATTTAAAAAAATTAATGAAATTCAATTAAGAAATTAATTTAGATGAATAAATAATAGAATAACTATATTTATTATGCTAGGCATTTATTGTATCTATATATATATTATGTCTCCATGAAATACTAGGAATGTATAAAAACATTATAAAAATATATTTTTATAGTAAAAATATCAGCAATACTTTTTTTATAAAAAAAATTTTCAATAATACATTTTTATAGGAAAATGATAATCAATACCACACCAAAAACATATAAAAATACATTTTTATAGGAAAATGATAATCAATACCACACCAAAAAAGTATAAAAATACATTTTTATAGGAAAAATGACAGCAATACAGTCTTATAAAAATATTACCAACAATACATTTTTATAGGAAAATGATAATCAATACCACACCAAAAAAGTATAAAAATACATTTTTATAGGAAAAATGACAGCAATACAGTCTTTTAAAAATATTACCAACAATACATTTTGGTAATGAAGAGGATGCTAAAGATATCATGGACTGAGCATGTGAGCAATGATGAGGTTTTGGAGAGGATGCAATCAAGGAGGAAGCTTATACTTAACATCAGGAAGAGGCAGCTGAAATTTCTGGGACACTTAATGAGAAAGGATGGCTAGGAGAATGTGATACTCACAGGTCAAACAGAGCAAAAGAGAGACAAGGGAAAGCAATGCATGACATACCTAGTGGACTTAAGCAAGTGGATGACAGAACAAGGCCTGGGGGAAGTAGCAAAAGGACAAAACTTATTGAGATCTACAAAGGATAGGGTGAAGTGGAGAGCCATGATCGTCTATGTCCTGAAGGAACATGGCACATAAAAAGAAAGAAGTGAAATTACCAGCAGTACATTTAAAAAAATTACCAACAATAAATTTTATCATCTGTAAACTATATATTTAAAAACATAAGTTTACCTTGGAAGTATAAAATTATGTACAAAATATCTGTAGTTGAAGATATGAAAATGTATTCAAAATATTTAAATGTTGGCATCAAATAACCCATAGAAGCTGATATACCACTAAACCAAACCAAACAAAAGCATAATTCATGTTACCATGGTTATTGTAGAAGAAGACTTTCATAACAGGGAAAAAAGTCAGTTTAGGTGGATTAATAAAAAGTGGCTGCATTGAAAATGAAAAACAAATGCATTGAAGAAAGAGAATCTGTAATGCATATTCAATAAGTAGAGTTTAATGAATATATATATTATTCCTCACTGGTAGCATGACTTGGAGTTTCAGGCACAACACAATATTCAGGTGCTGTGTACAGACTTTGAGTCATGCTATCAGTGAGAAATAATATGTATACTTATTAATATATACTTAATAGCTCAGTTATATTACATCAAACACTATGTTATTAACACCAGCACGCAATATGCGATATATATATATATATATATATATATATATATATATATATATATATATATATACATGTATGTATGTATGTTGTTAAATACATTATGTTTGGTCATGAGCCATTCTAAAGTCTGTATAATTGTTTTAATTTCAGGTGAAAATAAAGACAAAAATTGTCTAACATTTGGATATTTTTTTAATAAGCTGTTCTTTGATCCAAGCTTTCAGTTCACATGAGCCATCTTCAGAGTGGTTATACGGACATTTAAACAAAGATATTCAACATCAAAGATGAGATTCTGTTATGTTGACATAGAAGATTTCTATGGGACAATAACGATCGTGGAATAGCAAATGCAGGTCAAGAATTCATGATGTTGTACCAGGTAGGAGACTGAAATATTAACAACAGAACCTATGTCTAGATGTAATGTAATGTGTTGTGACTAGTTTGAAATGTAATTTTATTGAGTGTAGGTTGCATCTAGATATATGGTTCTGTTGTTAATATTTTGGTCTCTCATGTGGTACGACAATATAGAACTGCATCATGAATTCACAACCTGCATTTGCTATTCTACAACCGTTATCATCCCATAGCAATCTTCTATGTCCACATAACAAAGTATCATCTTTGATAGTGAATATCTTTGTTTAAATGTCCATGTAACCATTCTGAAGGTGGTTCATGTGAGCCGAAATCTTAGATAGACGAACAGCTTAATAAAAAATATCCAAATGTTGGACAAATTTTGTCTTTATCTTCACTCAAAATTAAAGTTAAATATAGAATCTAGAACAGCTCATGATCAAATATAATAAACATTCATTGTCTGTTATGTTTAACAATATATGTTTGTAATGGCCCAGTGGGTAAATGGACCAATACTATTTATATTATTATACTTTCAACGTACAGTATTCAAGTAAACAACAAAACTCCAAACTGTGAATCAACAAGTATATATTGAAATAACATACAAGGACAAACATGCAATAAAATTGTATTTAATGTATAGATTAAGGGAAAGAAGTTGTTCCCCTTTAATTGTATTTTGATTTGTAATTGATTATTCGAAGAAAGTTCTTTTTGAGAAAAAAATGTTCAGGAATCACTATTAGAACAAAAGTCTGTTTATTAGAATAGATAACACAAGAATACAATTGATCAGAAATGTGTTGTGTTTTAGAATGGTTCGAAATTAACAGAGTCCTGGTTGATTGAGCTTGGCTAAGTCACTGAGAGAAGTGTGAGTTTATACTACAAAATTCTGTGTCTGTGTGTGCGTTTGAAAATGTTATGAGTAAGATCATGGATTTGTTTGGACAGGCGAAACTTACTGGATCCTACTGACGACTTGTGAAAATGTCGCTTCTTTTAAGGAAAAAGAATAGGCTCCCACAGAAGCGCGGGAAAGGGTTAATCTTGCACTAAAATATGTGATTGGTTAAAAATTAACCAATCACTACATTCGTACTAACAAAACAGGCAAGCAAGCTCAAAACCAAAGGATTCAAAGAAATGACTGCGATGGCTAAATTGTCCTATAGATACGTAGTATTGATTTATTACCCAATTGCAAACGAATAAAATGTGGGCATGGGAAAAACATAGCAATCGCTACATGTTTAAATAATGATCTGCTGCCTAATACCCTATATATATGTGTGTGTGTGTAGGTGTGTGTGTAGGTATGTGTGTGTATGTATGTATGTGTGTGTGTGTCCTATTATAATTGTCCTTGTCCCTTCTTTCGTTTGTTCGCATGACCTTTTCCTGTCAGTACCTCATGAATAATGGACTATTCTGCGTTTTGATCACGTGGAAGGAGGTGAAAAGACATTACTAGGTTTCAGTCAGAAAATGAAAGAAAGAAGAAACAGATAAGGGAGAGTGATTGCGATAAAGTGCCATTTTTCAGATGCACAATATTGAACGATGAGAAAGAACTGAGTCAAAAATTTAATTACCATAAATTAAATTAAATTAAAAATAGCATCATCTTCTGAATTATTTTAAAACTATTATTAATAGAAATGTTCATAAGATGAGGATTTGGCTAGAAAGAAACAAATAAGAAGTGTAGGTAAAAAAGTATAATATCTCCTGCCAACATTTCATAAACAATGGACTATTCCGGTTTGACTGTGTAGAAAAACAAGACATAAAAGAAAGAAATAAATAAAG